GGGGTCGAGGGGACGGGGGTCGAGCAAAGACCGCACAGACTTGAGGGATTGCAGACGCGTCGTGTCACACAGTCGCGCCTGAACACTTGTAAATATACATTTTGGGCCGAGGAGACGAGGCTGCAGAGATTGACACAAATAGGCGTTCTCATTTCACCGTTCTGCCCACCTTTCGCTCTGCCCCGTTCTTGACTGACATGTTGTCCACGACTTGGCATCAGTTGTTCCCATTCGCCCCCAAAATTAGTCGGACCCGAACGTGCCGGTAGAGCCGCGCCGAACCAGCCCATTTGCATGTTTGAAGACCGGAAAATGGGAGAATCAAAGCACAGCCCTCGGATTCAGATGCTGCAACAGGAGGGATGGGCATTAATAATCGAGAAAATGAGTGGAAAGCTGAACAAACTGGGCGCATGTACCGATGGCGGCTGTATGGATGGCGGCAAGGATGGGACGAATAGTGGATGAATGTTTGAATGGTCGAATTGTAGCAATGGCTGCAGGGAAGAAGAGACGGATGGAAGGATTGACGGCTAAATGCACGAATAGATAGACGAATGAATGGATGGATGACTGGAATGGGGAATAGATGGTTGGTTAGGATCGCATGTGCCAGAAAGGATAATGGAGAGCGAGTTGTCCAGAAGAAGCGGATGCGCAAAAGTGAGAATAAATGGACAAATTGAAAACATGACCGTCTGAGGGGGATGGGGAAAAAGGGTAGAACTGTTAACAACCATGCAACAGGAAAATACATGTGGTCGCCGATTTCACTCGCTCCTCACTTTTTACAACTCCGGCCGGCATGAAATGTACCTTTAGCAACAGGAGACGTCAGGGCAACTTGGTTAATTTGTAACTCCGCGGGCGACCGGAGTGTGTCCACCACGTTGGGCCTGTGGACAGCGATCAAAGTGACGCAGAGTTCGGCCGATCGCCTGTTCCGCGCAGAAATGTGCATCAGAACGAGCCATTTTTATGCTCACTCGACGGCAAATCACCTCCTCTTCACCGCATCAGTCTCCCTGATCCAGATCCGATCCGATCACGTAGCAGGACGGACAGTCTCGTATTGTATACACATTTAGTTAGCCTAGGTGGATTAAGGGGAACTAACGTGTGATCCAAGAATTACCGGAATTTTCGATACCTACTCACATAGAATATAAGTAGTATAATTAATTTTGAAGCTAAAAACAAAAATGCATAGAATGCTTAAGTTAAGGTTTGTGCGTGTGTGAGAGAGAAAGAGCGCGAGAGCACGCGAATAGACCATTCGTGGCTCAATGAGGGATTTAGAAAGACGCCTGAACAGAACAGAACCAGTGTAATGAGATGTATTCACCCTATTTCGTCAAAGGTGATGAAGGACTGGTAGTAGAATTTTCCCACA